CATAGCACCGACGTTTGTACTAAAAGTCTGACAGTTAAACTATGTGAGAAGGTGAAAAACCTTACAAGCGCTAGGTTTAGGCAACTTCAACTATGAAGTCCGGAACCAAAATGTTGCTATTTTGGATTCAAAACACATAAATAGGTGTAAAAAAAAAGGTAATCATAATACATATAACGCCAGAAATAGTGGCGCTATATATTAACGGTAACAGCACCGTTAATATATAGCGCCACTATATCTGGCGTTATACACTGTCAGAGTGATATAGCGCCAGAAATAGTGGCGTTATACACTGACAGTGATATAGCACCAGAAATAGTGGCGTTATATCCTTTTTTTCCTGACCAGTACAATAATTCAAAATAAAGCGCCAACTTATTTGGCGCTATATATGTAAAAAAAAAACTTCCCGGCTCCCCATTTTCTATATAAAGAGGTTAGAATCGCATCGAAATGCATTCAAAAATTTTTTTAACTCTTGTTGAAACGTCTGTTGTTGTTAAATTCTCCAGCATTTTTTTATTATGTCTGAAGAGCGTAGGATAAGAGTTTCATTATATTGGGGGGTGAGGTTGTGATGGAGAATAACTCCGTGGGCTACAGTTTACCTGCTAAGTGTCATGTTAAATTGCCACTGACAATGGAGTACGATACATTGATATCGTTGTTATGCAAAAAAATGAGTGTGAGGAAACGTTCGGTGATATTTACAGTAACCGGAAGATATCCTTATTCCGTCACTCCGCAAGGGGTTGCTTTTTACTCGGAGTTTAACATCGACGATGATGAAACTTTGAGTGATTTTTTGAGGACTCCGGACGAATGTCGGGATTTTCTTGAAATCACAACGTTGGAGATGTACGTGAAGGTCGAAGACGTTCCAAAAAATGAGGTTGTGCGTAGTAGAGATAACCCCCAGTCATCGGGGGGTTATTCTGGAACAGTTTTTGCCGGACAAGTTCCGGATGAAAGAGTTATCTTTGATTTAAACTTATCACCGCCGGTGAATGAGCAGCGAGAAAATAATTTATACCCTGCTTTCCATAACTCACAAGACGAGTGGTAAATTTTAATTTTCATTTGTGTTAATTATGTATATTTTTGTTGTATTGAATTTGTCTTAACACTCACATATTTAATAGGGGGTACCAGCCGGATATGAATTTTACAAGTGGCCCATCCGGTAGTCATCACCTAATTGATAACGTCCATCATGAAATTTTATCACATTACGACTTGTAAGTGAAGTGATTTACGCAAAATATGAAAATTATTTATTAATTTAGTAGCTTATATTTTTGTTGGTTGTGCAGTGAAAACGAGCAAGTTGAACTCACTCAATTGCCCGAAAATGATGTATTACATCGGGACCTGGCAGATGCACAGAGTCAGGAACAGAACAGTGATTACGATAACAATGCGGATGAATCCGGGGATGAGACACCCTTTGCTCGTGAGGATGGTGATGCAGAGGATGAGGAGGAAGGACCTGATTTGAAGAGAGACCCCCCTAGACGAAGAGTGTATGAGTCCGAAGT